CGTGCCCTAGCCTCTGCCGCCCGGGGCGGGCTGTCAGCCTGCACGCGTGCACCCCCGCAGAGCAGACTGCAGACTGCCCCTCGCCCTGCAGAGGTTAGGGGAGTTTGGTAGAAGACGGTACAGACTGCGCTGATCAGGCGCGTGGCACGGCCAGACAAGCAGCGTACCGAGCGGCAGCTATTTACACGTGACCAGTCCTTTTTATCCCCTTACCCCTCAAGCTCCCCGCTCTTGCTCCTCCCCAAATCGCCTAAACCCCACCTTTCTCCCACCCTTGTTTTTTCTCTGAACATCCCATAGTAAGTCCTGTGCAGTCTGGGCTCCTTTTCCCCGTGCCCCACAGTGCATCCCGCACCCCTGGGCAGGGGTCTGGGGTGGCTGCGCCCCATGGCTCCTGGTGACGGCTTCACCCTTGGAAGGGGGGATGGCTCTGCTGGGACAGCCCTGGGAGGGGCGTGCTCAAGGTGCTCCTTCCTTGATTTGGATTCCCGCCTGCCCTCGTGCCTCTGTCCTTCCCCGGGCTTGTGGAGATGGGCCTTCAATGGGCTGACGGCTCCAGTGGTGGGTCTAGAAGAACCTGGGCTGGGTATTATTTGGGCTCCCCTCCTGCATTGTCTCTTTGAGCTCCTTTGTGGGTGTGCAGACGAGCTTTTATCACATCACCTAACAGTGTAACACTTTTTTAAAGTGGGAATGTGAGAGAAAGAAACAAAATCAAATAACATTTGAACTTTAAAGAAACAGAACGGAAAACTGAATGTTTGCAGGAATTAAGGAACAGCAGTAGACCACTTCAATATAGTGATATACATGAATAGCATTTAATTGACTGCTCTGCATGGATGTCTAAGTTGGCATTAAAATAGTTCCAGTATTGGCAATGTTTTACCTGTGCCAGCACAGAGCTCACCGATGTCAGTTTTGCTTGTAAACAAGGTGGAGGTGGCGTAGCAGCACACAATAGTTGCCCTTTGCAAGCAGTAACCTTGGCATAATTTAAGTCATACCCCCATAAAGTAAATGTTACACAGTTTTCTAGCTGCCAGAGAAGTGGGAGTTTGCAAGAAGAAAGAGAAATGGAGGGATGTGAGAGACGATGTTTGAATGAGTGAGATGAAAAATGGTGTAGAAGGAGAAACAAAGATAAATTATTCTTTGGGTGGCTTCCCTGCTCCTGGGGCTAGTCCTCGGTTGGATAGATAACTCCTCTAGACTTCTCAACCTTATTGTGTTTTCCTGAATGACATGGCTGGAGCAATTTACAGATGTTGATGCTTTAGATTCCTTTGCTGCATCGGGGAAGGGCTCTGCTGTGCCTGCACGGGCATGTGGAGTTTTCATATGGCTTTCTGTTGCTTCATATCAAGTTTCTGATACCTCAGTGAAACAGAATGATTTTTAATAATTAATTTTAAAATCATTTTTACGTAGTAAGAAATGGCAATGTTTTGTTATTCACATATTCCAAAATCTAGGTATTTGTAGAAGTTCCTAAAGATGTCAGTCAGGGTGGCACCAACAATTTATGCAGATTTTGGATTGAGGAGATAGTGAGATGGTGGAAGTACGAGATTTATTCAAATAATTATGTTTAGTAATTGCTCATTTAAATAAGTATCTTAACTACTTTGCTGATGAACAACTAAGTTATTATTAGCCATAACAATGAAATATATCAAAATTTCTTTTCTTTTTTTAAAGGATCTGCTTTTGCTAAAGCAAAACCTGAAAGTCCTTGGACATCTCTGACCCGCAAAGGAATCGTGAGAGTTGTTTTCTTTCCATTCTTCTACAGGTGGTGGCTACAAGTGACATCGAGGGTCATCTTTTTCTGGCTGCTTGTTCTTTACCTTCTTCAAGGTAGAGTTGGATTACAGGATCAACTTCAACTGAATGTCTTATTTTAACCATATGGAAGCTGCTGTATGTTACTTGGTTCACTTTATGCTGTTAAGGATCATTCCAGTGTTTTCTGAAATACTGGAATGGCACAGTCCCAAGCATGTGCATTTCGGTTAGTATTTCTTTTACATATATAAAGGAGGCATGCTGAAAATTGGAGGATTTCCTTACAGGCTTTCTTTATTTAGCACACATATTAGTTTGTCATCTCTGTATATAATTTAGGTTTCCAGGACTATCTAATTTAGTTCAGGACTGAGTAATATCAAAGAAACCTTTGGCTTAGGCAGTGTATTTTGTCTTTGCCTTTTGGTCTTTCTGGTATTCGTGCAGATCAAGAGCTCTGATCAAGAAGCAAGCAAGGCCAAACCTGCCAAGGTGTGTGCAGATTGTGCAGCCTGGTAGGATGATCTCTTTGACCAGTTTCCAGTTGTTCTTCCATATGTTATTTTGTCACATTAGAGGCAGTGAACTTCTAGCTTATGCTAGTCAGTCTGCTGATAGGTAGTAGAATACATAAGTTATAGTTCATTTGTTACCATGTTCATAGATGGCTTATTCTGAGAAATACCATTATAGCAATTTTTTCTGTTCCCATTCTTAAATTTATGTTAAAAAATATACCCACACTTAATTTGTGGAGCCTTCATAAGACTCTGAAAGCAGCAAAATAGAAAGACAATGCAAATTCTGAATGCAAGCAAGTTTTTTAGGACATTAATTACAGACCTATCTTGTAATTAACTTTTTTCCCCCGTCAGATTTCTTGGGATCTATGATTTGCTAAAGTTATGGTTGGAATGCATCATTTCCTTAATCCATATAGTCTGTAATGTGACAAAATATTTCTGATATTTCTGAGGCTGTGAATTAACAAATGCTGGAAAAGACTTAATAGTATTCCTTATTATGCTATAATCCAACTATATGAAATGCTTATCATTTAAAATGTGCTGAATTAACTGCAGAGTTTTTGATGGTTTTTGAAATAGAGATTATAATGTACGTGTAAGTGAAATTAAATTGACTTTTTTATTGGAAACCCTTTAAAACAAGCCCTCTCAAGCCTCTCCATCTAGTGCTTCTGTATAAATTTTGCTTATATTCTACTCAGAAGGTGTGCTGGGTTATTTATTTTGTACAAAATCAGTAAGGCAGCACCAAAAAGTAAAAAATCTATTAGGAAAACTTAACAACAAAACACTTCAAACTCCAGTGGCCATATTTCTGCCCTGAATCTGAATTTTGTGTTGTGGCTTGGACTTTCTGTCATCATGACATATTCTCACTGACACTGTTTTAAAATGGTCTGACTCTATTTTCTTTATAAATGTTTAGCTAAATGATTTTATTTAATTATGAAGTATTTTCTTTAGATTTATGGACTGCATTACTTGGAATTATTACTCTGAAATTGATTAGCTTTAGCAGGATACTTGCTAGAATTTATGTAAGTCTACAGAAAAGAATTCTTTGCTTGGCTGTAGATTTAAACTCCAGATTTTATTTGCATTGGTTTCCTTTAGTATAAAGTATGATTAGCAAAATGAGTGATAAGAGAACTATAGAGAAATGTTTTTTTGTCCAAGGTCATGGAACAGACCGATGAATTAAGGTAGAAGTAAAACCTTTTTCTTTTGACTCCTTATCCATTTTGTTTATAGCATTACCTCATTTTTACTTTAAAAATGTTTCTATATTCTCATAGGAAAATGAAGTGTGAAATTATAGTGTGTATGTCTATTGTGTATTTCTTAAGTATGAAACAAGAAACTTTAATAGTTATATAATGATTGTTTATTGTGGTGAGATATATATATGTATGTATGTGTTTTTAAACTCAATATTTCAAAGCTTTAACTGCTATAAAAATAAATGCTTGTTGGTCTTTGAAATGTATAGTTGCTTTCTTTGATACAGCTTTTTGGTTTATGTGATATTAAATCATTTGTGTCTGTTTCACAAAATAAACCGTTGTAATTCAGGAAAGTACAAGTCCAAATAACTATAAGTAAAGAAATAGTTAAAAGTGGTGTGAGAAATTCTGTTCCAAGACCTAGCTGTTGGTAGGAGCAGTTCTAGGATCATCTGCACTACAGCATATGGACACACTATGCAGAAAGAAATTCTTGGATTTCCCTCCCATCCTACTGAAAAGATCACGAGATTGGTAACATTTTCTTAAATCTGTGTGAGACTTCACGGTGGGAGTCTGCAGGCTACAGATTTGTATCTTCTGGGAGAAGATGATTTCTTCTAGATTAGTCTGCTTTGTTAAATGTTTTTTAAGTAACAGAAGAAATCTTGTAGTGAAGTTTGAATTATTTTGTGGAGGCCTACTCCTACAAATCATTTCACATGGATCTGTGGAGCTGTGTGTTCTCAAAAGTACATGTTTATCCAAATTGTATGGTAGCAGTCAAAATTGGCAACTTATTTACACTTTATACCTTATGAAAGTAATCGTATATGTCAGAAACTCGGATAAGCTCATTTACAAAGAGGTAATATTATCTGTGCCTTTTACGATCTGTAGCTTTTTTTGTTTGTTTTTTAGTAAGTTAGGTTTCTGATTGCATACTGTCTTTCTGAGAAATGTCATATGGCAAAAACTTAGTCCACGCATAGTAATAAAAGACACGCTATGTGTTCTACATAATGTTCTGTGCTTTAATTTAGGAAAAAGACTGATGGGAAATTAGAAATAGATTATCACAATCAAAAATTATTCCATTGTTTTGTACATTCATCATGTTTCTAATACTGGTTACCTTGCTAAAGATTGTTTTGTGAAAAACATGTCTAATCTCTTTTCAGTGGAAGACATTGTATCTAAGTATCTGCTGTGTTGAACATGGCTTCATGTGGTATATTTTAGGTGTTTGAATGTGGCACATTAAATTTATATGTGGTTGTACTGTTTTCAATTAATTTTAGTAGAGAACTGGTGAAAGCTGTTGAATGTGTACTATGTATTTCTTGTGCTAGGAGTAAGTCTAAATTACGGGATTTTCACTTCTTGGTGGTACAAGAACAAAACCAAGTTCTCATGGGATGTGTGGATGTTAGGTACAGAGAATTATTCCCCTGTTCTGTTTCTGAATTGTTTATTGGAGTTCCTGGGTTTTTTTTCCCTTGACAGCTTCCCTCAGCTGAGTTACAGAACACAGCACTTTAAGCCATAGAGGCAGAGCAACAAGAACATAGAATAAGCAAAGAGAGGGATTGCCTCTTCTGTCGGCCCCATGCCTGTTGAATGTGTTTATATTTACCTGAAGCCTGTAAAGACATTTCTAAGTTGTAGAAGTGGTTGGGCTCTGGGTACAGGAGCAATGAGTGGGTGTTGGCTATATGAAAAGCTGGTTATAGGGTTACAAAAGTCAACTATGGAATTGGAAACTGCTCCTTTTCCAGCCCCAAGTGCTAATTGGAGCCCTGGTCACTTCAGCTGGACTACCTCACAGGTTACATGGTTTGTCTTGATCTTTCCTCGTTACTGGAAAATAGACACACAAGTATATATGAAATGTAGACAGGGTTGCACTTATGTCTGTCTATCCATGTGGGCAATTTTGTCCTTAGACTAGAAGATGGAGTTCAAAATGCATTCTGCTAGAGAATGTAAAGTTTCCAGTCTCAAGTCTGTTGGTCCTTACAGTTTTGAAATAGATGTATGGTTCCACAGAATCACAGGCTAGTTGAGGTTGGCAGGGACCTCTGGAGACTGTCTAGTCTGAAACCTTGCCTGAAGCAGGAGGTCAACTAGAACAGGTTGCTCAGGACCATGTCCAGTCAGGGTTTGAATATCTTCAAGGACGGAGAGACTTCAGCCTGTCTGGATAACCTGCTCCTGGTTTGATGAGCCTTACTCTCACCTAGCTTGTTGGATTGTGCTGCATCGTTATAGGTGATAGAGAATTAAAGTTATTTGCGCTTCGTTAAGGATGACATTTGCATTTTGTTTGTCTCCTACTGAAGTTTCACCTTAATTTAAAGTTGTTTCATGACAGATCTTGCTTTCTGAATGCTTTTTTCCCCTCCCTTACTTCATTCTGCCTTTTTTTGTTTGAGGAATAGCTATAATACCACAAGTGTAAAAGAAGAGAAGGATATTAAGACAGTAGGCAACTGTTTAAGTCTTTGTTACTGTATATTTCATTGCAATTATTCCTTCCTCTCAGAATTACATGGGTTGGTCTAAAATGCAGGTAAAGGACTACATCTGACTGCTGCTCTTTTTAACAAAAGCTTTATAAACGAGTTGGCCATCTCAGACATTTCAAATATTGAACTCAACTTCATTTCACTTCTTTTCCAGTTGCTGCTGTAGTGTTATTCTATACAGCCCAAAGCCCACATAATATACCTCTGACTGAAGTAATTGGGCCAATATGGCTAATGTTGCTACTTGGAACTGTGCATTGTCAGATTGTTTCAACACGAACTCCTAAGCCACCTCCCAGCACAGGGGGTAAAAGAAGAAGGTATAGTCTATGTTAAAGTACTTATCATTTAGGATTGTTAAACTATTCTAAAGAACATGCATGAAAAAATGTAGGGGTTTACAGTCTCTGCTTTGCAAGAGATGAGTAATTTGTGCTTTTTTTATCTGAAACTTCAAAAATGGGTGCCTAAGCAATGCTCTTTAACTTTTATGCATTGACTAATTTATGCATTATTTTATTTGAATGTTAGTGCACTGAATGATATTTTGCCTCAAAACAGTTTGTACCTGAATAGTGATGGAGTGACAGTATATATTACTGAAAATTTAATTTTAGAACTCTGTGCAATACTGACTGATGATCTCTATGGGAAACATACATTAAAGGAGATGCTACTGAAAATGTGGACCTTAAGCCTTCCAGCACTTCACTGAGTATGGTTTTCTACAGTGAATTGTCCCATTGAAATGGGAGTAGTAGTGAAGTTTGCAGGTCTAAGCCTCTGATGATGAAATGAAATGTATTTTGGGTTTAAGTGTTATAATGAGTGTTATACTTAATTTTATTAAATGGAGTTTATTAAATTGACATGGTAAAGCTTTAGCAAAATATTTTGAAATCTTGCTTGTTTGTGCATGCATAAACTGCTGAACACGTTATAGAAGTAGTAGATTGCACTTATAAAGCTACCTTCCAATTTTAATCTCTTCTGATGAAGGAAATTAAGGAAAGCAGCACATTTGGAAGTACATAGGGAAGGAGATGGCTCTAGTACCACAGATAACACACAGGAGGGAACAGTGCAGAGCTACGGTACAAGCACCTCTTGCAGTATTGGCGCTGTCTTCAGAGATATCTGGCATGCTGCTTTCTTTTTATCAGGGTTTGTATTTATTCAAGGCTATGTATGTGTTAGAGATGCACTATCCCTTTTCTAAATAGGTAAACATTGATGTAATCATTAAACTTTTGTTGATCTAGTTTTTGTTCTTAACAGTAAACTCATCTCAGTATTTGAACATGTACTAATGTGTTGTTTCTTGACTTGCAAATACTAATGCAATAATTTTGAAAATATACTGAATTAACATTTAGTTAAATTATATTTTGATGTAGGAGTACTCTTTGTGGGCGTTCAGGAACAAACGAACTCAGTTTCTCAGTTTTAATCCAGTGAGAAAATTAAACTCTAACTTTATTACATTAGCTGCTTATTACTCCAAGAGAATGCTTATTGGACTTTATCACTGTCATCAAATCACACAGTTTTTCTGAAGGAGAAGCCTTCAGGATTCAAATAGGCACAGCGTTTAGTTTATAAATCAACATTGAAGATACATTTTCTAATGATTGGAAGAAATATCTAAGCCTGTTACATTCCAGAGGTGTTTTGCAAATGATCCATCTGCTAATGCAGTGCTCTGTGCAATTAAAAAGTTTTTTAAAAAAACATTCTGAAGCAGTCTGGGTTAAAGATATGCTATACACACAGCATTGTGAGTGCTACATATCAGCATCTATTAACAAGAGAAAATATGCTTGTAAAATAGTATGGAATTGAGAAAAGGGATACTGCAAGTTATTACATTGATGTTTTGTTGTGCATGCTGCATCTTAAATATGGCAACACTAACACGTCTGTCATACTTGTGATGTGTGCTCTTAACCACTGGTAAAGCTTATCTTATGTTACATTCTGGGAATATCTAGTTGTAACTCTGGAGCAGTTTTAAAAATGTTTAAAAATATGCAAGAGGAGATTTCATTTGACTTTTTCCTGTGTAGATTAAGCTAGCTTTGACAAACTGTGAGTCATGGTAATAGACACTGCTATTCGTTGGGTCTGTATGCATTACTTTCTGGTATGTTTGGAGTGTAATCTTGTAAACTTTTGAATGTTTTCTATTCATTGAAGATACTGATCTGCAGTAACGAGTGTTGGAAGATTCATTTTTTCCCTTCCCTTCCCTCGTACTGGGCTCAGTATTTTCAGTTGAGAAAGGCTGTGTGGGACTTACTCTAAGGACTTGTTTAAACCATTTAATGAGAGGTAGTGTATATATATAGATGTTAATGCTCAATGATGACTACTTAGTATATACAGTATCTTCAAAGGATAAAGAGCACAGAGTTACTGAGAATGCTCTAAGTAGCCCTTAGTCATTTGTTATCTCTTCAATTGCAGAAGCACAGTTGTTTGTATGTCTGGAGCCATATAAACCCTATCAGGAACTCATCCAGCTGAAAAGTAACCTTTTTTCCTGGGAGATCATGCAGATCAGTTTCCTCATGTAATTTTTTTTGTGGTAATGCAAACAGTGTTGCTAGCACAATGGGAAGGCAGAACGGGGCTGGGAATGAGTAAGCAGGAGTGCAGCGTTGAGTACATTAACTACTTGGTGAAGAAAATCTACCATTGCTGAAGAAAATCTTAGGAAACCTCAATGCAAGGGAGCTGTACAGTGACACCTGTCCTGTTTCTTAAGACATATTTTGAAGCTCTTTAGATAAGCACATTAGAATGTCTCATTAGTGTTTATTTACAGCAGTTTTTAAATATATTAAACTTTGAGATACCATTTTCTGGAGTTTTAAATATAGGTCTTAAACACATGTTTTCAAAATCAATCTCAGGAATTATGTTCTTTAGGGCAAGACCCTGTGTAGCTAGACCATTTGCCTGCACTCAGGTCATTGGCGATCTGGAACTGTGTACTCAATAAATGGCAGAACTCAGTCTGACTAATAAATTATATTTCTAAACTTTAATCCAGCACAGGGGCAATTTAGAAAATGCTAATTATTAGTTTCACTGGAAAGGAGGGCAATATTCAAATAGGTGATTTATTCAGAATGTAGTACTGATTTGGGACTTTGCTCTCTGTGTGTGTCCTTACTCCAATTATGGAAATCTTAGAATTGTACCTTATTTAAAAGTTTTGCAGTGTGAACAGGGAGGAGAGGTTTTTTTAGACCAACCTTAGTGAAAATATGTGGGAATAGAATACTTGACAGTAAAAAAATCTACAGTCTACCGGAAACTTGGTTTAAATCTTTCTTAATATTTTCTCTAGCTAATGCATGACTGAGACTCAAAGTCATTCTTGACTTAGCTTTTGCGTACGTTCAAGCTTTTTAAGGCCTTGGATTTATTCATGGTGGTGTCCTGTTTTGCTCTGTAATCAACTTTTAAAATTTCGTGCTAGAATTAAAAGTATATATGATGTACATCTATCTATATCAATTCTAGGAAATGATACATTTCTATCAGCTAGGGAAGTATTGTGCATGTTCGTTATTGTTGTTTTTTCTTTTATCACAGTGTAGCGCATCAAAGCCTAACTTTAAGCCCAAATGCAGGCTTTTCTGGCTGGAGGCTTACACTTAAATTTAGGGATTCTTACAAAAAATAACTTTGATTTCTACATTAGAAACAAATGAAAGACTCAGTCAAGTTGTCTGTTTTTCAAAATGAGCCTTAGTTGATATCAGACTAGTATTTGTGTGCAGTTTTAGCACTTAAACATTGCTTGAGTAGTGAAGTCCTGTCAAATTATACATACATACATACTCTTTTTCTCTTATCTATTCCTACTCAACTGTTTGAGGCTACTTCTTCCTAGCAGCTTTCAAGTTTCATGTGAAATGTGTAAAAACTTCTCAAGTCAATCATGGAAGAGTTGTCCTGTTACTCCACCGATACAGCTTAGTAACTTGTGGAGTAAGTCTTTCTGACTGCGTATGTGATGAGAACTGCATTCCCTTTTGCACTGTTAAAAAGAAATTTTTTAAAAGTGCCAAAAGTATATTTAATGCATTAAAAATTAGCCTCTCTGGGTTCCTGCTTATTGCAGATAATTTAGTATTAGTGGTACTTCCTTAGTGCTCACAACTGAGCTTACTGAAATTTACTGTTTTACAATGACTTGCCACTGAAAGGCTGTTACTTGCTTTATTCCAGATATGGAACAGCAATTTTTCCCACTAAATAATAAGATAAGCTTTCTCTTTCATCAGTTGTCTTATCTTCATTAACTTAGCTAAACAGTGACATTATGGAACGGCACAGAAATAATTTTCTGACATGTTCACTGTTGATAGTTTGACCTCTTTGTTAAAAGCCTCAATAATGTTTTAGATGATCTTCCTCATGGGCCTAGAAAATTAAAACTCTGTGTGTGAGCTAGCACACTGGTAATCTGCGAACAGGAGGCTTACTAACTGCTTCTCTACCACAAAACACATGCTAAAGCATCTTGCTGTCTCTTTACTTTTCTAAGCTTATAATAAAAATTAATCCGTGTAAATACTTAATAACTACAGAAAGTGTTTCTGCTGGTTTTGTACTCATTTAGAAATAAAGTTGACTAAGAATTTTGGGAGTAGGTCAGGGCATAGTAGGTGAGTTCTCTAGCTTCCTCCAAGAGAAGTGGAGCAGCAGTTAGCTTCGGTTTAAAAAAATTAAAAATCCTGTTAGCTTTTTTCCAGGAAGGGGTGAGGGAAGGTGGAATGAGGTTAAAGATGGGAAAGGAGAATGGAACACCTCAGTAACATTGTCTCTTCTCTTTATTATTTTGTCTGCATTCCAACAGATGAATTGTTCCTTTTTAAAATTTTTTTTCATTTTATCCAGCTCTCCCTAGCCATTTTTTGTGTTCAGGTCTCTCTTGTATATGTGGAATACCTTATCTTGGGAGGAATGTGAAGGCCACTATTCCAATTCTCCCAATTCATTTGATGTACTTATTAGAGAGGAATTTAATCTTCTGCTCTGTAATCCAAGCTCTCACAGAATGCCACACTCCTTAAAGAGAAAGGCAATGCATATTCCCTCATAGGAGCACAAGATCAGTTGAACAGATTCCTAATAGTTTTATGACCTCTGTCCAGTGTTTTAATAAAAATACAAAAATCTGGAAAATTTGATTTATAACACTCTGGGGTTTTTTTTCACAAGTGTTCTGGGAATCTAACAAGTGAAATCCAATAAATACAAGATATTAATTGCTCTTCTGATTTTTTTTTTTTTCCATGTAATATACTTTGAGAATAGAGAAGTTTAAGTAAGGACTTAAAGTAGTCTCTATCGATAAGATAGCAAGCTGCTATTCCTTTTCATTCCTTCATCGACTGCACTTTCTAATTTGGAAGTGTAATTGTCCAAATGTTTGCTTTGAGAAAGCCTTTTTCTTGCTAGATAAGGCCCTTGACATCTAGAGAATGTTATGGAAGACTATTCATCAATATTAGTAGTCTTAAGAATAATAATACTGAAGCATAATTCATAAACTTATTTTGTGATTTGAAAACAGGCTTAATTAGTGTATTTGTAAGATATATCGAAATATGTTGCCAGCAGTGTTACTAGATAATACGGGAAAGGGTAAATCACCTTCTGTTTAGTAGAGTTGTCCATAAGCAGAGTGTATTTAAAACAACAACAAATCTGTGTACAGAGTACTAAACAGCATGTTTGTTTGCAGCTTCAGGAAATGGCATACTTGCTTTGAATTAATAGTACTCAAAGAAACTTTCAGCATACCTCTTGTTTTGTTTGAGACTTGTGGTTCTTCTGTTGCCAAAGTTGCTGTGAAGTTTTTGTTTGAAAACAGATTTTCTTTTCTTTCAGTAGCTAATGATATAATTTTCTTTCAGACATTGAGAGTTTCTTCTGTAACAATTTTAGGAAAGGATAATGGGTATTTACAAGATGAAATATTTGCAAGTATTGCATCAAGTGTTAGTATTATTAGTTTGTGGTCATCTTAGTAGTAAAACTAAAACATGGGTTGATTTAGGCTGGGAAAACAATTGAGAGAATCAGTGATTTAATACTTATATTTGTTTCAAATATAGATCTAAGAAAGTGAAAAACTCAATAGATAAATCCACTGAGACTGATAATGGCTACGTGTCCCTTGATGGGAAAAAGACGGGTAAAAGCAGTGAAGAATGTATGCAGGCCCATGAACGTCGATGTGAAGTGATTAAGCCAGAAGAGTCAGGCTGGAGCACTGCAACAGTGAGAGATGCCTTCAACAATCACAGTCATCACAAAGTAAGTGTTCTTTGTTGCTTTCAAAGCAGGATTATTAATTTGTCAAATGATATGTGAGGTGTATTTTTATGATGCTTTTGATACATTCCTACCCACTTTATCCTTAAAAATGTTTTTTAAATGAAAGTAGGCTTCCGGTCCTGGGGCCAAAAACTATGTTAAGTCTTCTTATTTTATCCTTATATTCCTAGCCTTTGCTTTTTCTTGTAGGAGGATCCTTACTGACATCAGAAATATTCTTTACCATTCTGTATTTCAGTGCACAAATTTGTGTGCTGTATTTTATCTGTCTGTTTATTCAGACCAGCTAAACACACTGTACCTTTTCCTGCCTCTTCGATACTCTGGGCACATGTCTGTATGCCAAAATGGAACAAATTTTGGATTACTGACAAGTTGTAGTTTTGAGGTAATTCTGAGTATTTGCCTGTGAAAAATCTTGCTTTTCATTTCTGGGTTTTTTTTTTATTGATCACTGTAGAAGATGAGGAAATCGCAGTTCCTCTGTAATGAAGTAGGCAGGATTCTCTATACTGAGGAGTAGGAACGAGATGGAAGCGTAGGAAGTGGTCATGAAAGAAAGCAGAACTTGTAATTTTCCTGGGTCTGATTATCTCCTCAATATACTATTTTCATCTTATTGTTCTATGGAATGGCTTTTCCAAAATGTTTTTCCTGGCTCTCTTATCATTGGCATTTGAGCATATATTGACTGCCATTACAGCTCTTAACACTTGACTCTGTCTCACTAGTATTTACCATCAATGATCAGTCATAGCAAGGGTTTTTCCATGATGATATCAAAGGGAAAAGTTACTCTAATGGAAGACTACAAGTACACATTTTGTGAAGGAAAGGCATTCTTTGTGGATTTCATAGCCAAATTATTTAACAACCCCTTAAAGATCTGTACGATTAAGTCAGAATGAAAGTGATGAAGGTTCGTCTCTGGGCAAAAACTTCACTCTTGCTCTGCAGGAGGTGCTTTCTCAGCACTGATAGCAACTGGGGTTCAGTTGTCTTTATCAATTCCAAGCATTTTGCATTTTTGATGAAATTCAATAAATCAAGGATTTTTAAGAAAAAGTAATTTTAAAGAGTTTTAAGTTTCTTTGATAGAATGGATGAGATGTTGTCTATATTTAACTTGCTTGGTGAGTATGCACCCACATTAAAGAGAAGTTGTCAGAGGCTAGAATAGGCTCCTCTGTTGTCTCCTTCTCATCTCTACCTCCAAAGACAATTATTACATTTCGTTGCCACTGCAAAATGTGGTAGATAAGACACCCCGGATTGTTCTGTCTGTCCTTTCTCTGTGCAACTCAGCTGTTAAAAAAGTGAAGTAACCTGTCCTTGAAGCACCTCAGAAAACAAGAGTTCATCATGGAATAGAGAATGGTGTCTGAGCTGCAGGGATGGAAAAGGATTTGTTGTATTCATAGAGAATAGCTTCACTATTTTTGTCCTTTTAGCATTTCATTGATGACAAGAAGACTCCAAAGGAAACTTTACAGGATCCTATCTGGTGATCTTGTAATAAATACAAATACACAAAATTAAGTTTTTGAACAGCTGAATGATCCTTTGGTGCCTTTTTTCCTTTCTGTTCCGTAATGGCTATTTTAACTTTTAGTTTAAAATCAGGGAAGTGGAAAGAGGAATAAATTAATGATCTGAGTATTCTGCATGCAATCTGTTGCATTTTATTGTTGGAAGAAGAGGTAAATGTTAACTTTGTATTGTATGTGTTGATAATTCAATGTTATGGTGTCTGCTATCACAATTTTGGTGGTGTGTTTTTCTCACTGTCCCTCCTCCCCCCATCTTCTGGATATATTGCCTCTAAACCTGTTTTGGTAGGTTCAGTTTAGATAAAATCACATTTAAAATAACAATGTCAGAATTGTTCTTTAGTATAATATGAACGAGCCCTTCATCATCTGAGAAATATTTATTTGGTAATACAATTTCTGTTTTATAATTCCTGC